GAGCATGTGTGTGTGTGTGTGTGTGTGTGTGTATGTGTGTGTATGTGAATGTGTTATTTCTTCTGTGTGTATATATGCAAACTATTTTTTTCAGTAATTGTTCTTTGCGCTTGGATTTATGCAATGCGCCCACAGATATGTTTGCCCGAGATTATGTGCTCTAAGAGTGATTTAAATCACCATTATAATGTAAGCCTTACTAAAACCATTGTAATTAGATTAAATCCTTCGTGCCCATTGGCAGGTTCAGTTCAGTTCAGTTTATAATAGTAGTTTTATAAAGAAGTTGATAAAAAAGGCATCAAGAACAATTGGTAGAGACCTAAGTAACTCCCCCATCCCTGTCTTGTTGTGCGTTTGCGTGAGTGCACCTTTAAGTCTAACTTTTGTAACGTCTACTGCCATTGTTAACGACCAAGACAAATTTCTCCCTGCCAGATGAATAAAGATTGTCATTGTCATTGTCATTGTCATTGTCATTGTCATTATCATTGTCATTGTCATTGTCATTGTCGATGAATGGCCAGATTTTCCTTCATGAGAGAGGCAAAAGCTACCATCGTGGCACAAACCGACAGAACCGATGATCATGACCTTCAATAACAAACGCATTTGTTTTCAAGGCCGCGCGCCAGGCCATCGGTTTGGGCAATTGGTTCATTTATCGAGACCACCGAAGACACAGACAGGCTCACCAATATGGAAGTGTTAAGGAAAACAAGACAGATCCCAGTCAGAAATGAGGTAGGTGAAGGCGGTGGCGATGGATTGGACATACTCTCAATAAGTCAGACAGCTACATAACAAAGAAAGTTTTGGATTGGAACCCACAGGGTAAGAGATCAAAGGGAAGACCGAGTGGAGCCTGGAGAAGAATCACAGAAATCGATGTACAGAAAAGTGGGAAGACGTGGAATAACATCAAGAGGCTAGCCCAGGAGAGAGAAAGGTGGATGGTGTTTGTCCGTGGCCTAAACCCTGGTGCAGGGTGAGAAAGGTATTGATGATGATGATGATGACGATGATGATGATGATGATGATGATGATGACTGAAGCTACCAGAAACCTAACCGAACCAAACCAAGGCGAGCAG